CACACATGTACACTACCTCAACTGATCCAACGAATCAAATATAATGCTTTCTTAATCAACTATCAAAACACTAGCAGTTCTCTTGTCACTGATAAATCGTCCGCGTAGAGGACAGTTTTGAGTGCATGCAAGTAGAATTAACTATCTGTCGATCCAGCGTCCGTTGAAGTAGAAATTATGACTCAAATTTATGCCGTACGTACGGTGAAAAGACAAACTCAGTTTTAATAGGCAAAACAAATTAGGTTAAACGTACAATTCCTGCTGTCAGATGAAGAACCAGCGACCTTTTACCAATCCACCCAAGACTCTCCCAGTACTCGCCTTATGGTATATTCCAAGTGGTCCAGGACGGGATTACCTCGATGAATTTTTTGATTTTGCAGATCAAATATTCTCTTCTCATTCAAGCCATCTGGGATCCAACCATTCTCGGTTCTTTCTTCGAGGAATACCATGACCAATTTGTTCACAAGTTCTTTGTTTCTTGTTAACTCGTCATATATGACTTTTCCATCGAAGGTAATGCAATCATCTTCGATTTCTTGCTTCTTATCTTTAATGTGGGACAAAGCAAGGGGTGAGGCGACTAACACGACACAGTCACTGCTGCGAAGTTCCAAGCCGAAATCCTGTCCATCCGCTAGAATAGCGTTGATGTTTCTCACCATGGCTGTGTTTCGCAGTTTACCTGCTAAACAATCCTGCACTTTCTGAGCTTTGGTCATATCGCTTTCCGTGCAGAGATACAAGACGTGTTTCATTTTCGACGCGAACATTACTGCTTGATATCACCGGACTAGCGGAATAAACACAATTTGTTGCAATGTCAGTGATAAACTAGAATATCATACAAATGAGTGACTGAAAGGTAGCTCGGCCGGTTAGCTCTATGTACAAATGAAAAATCAAAGTGTAGACAGAATTGTAAAGCAACCTTCTGAAGAGCTGACATATATAATAGGTAAATGTGTGAAAAATGTGCGTTGTGAAAAATTCACCCATATCTTGGCGGCGTGCATTGTGAAATGCAACAACTAGAGCGGGTGTTTCATCACAAATTTAAAATTCTGAAATCGGATGATACGAATACCTTAACCCTATCAAGGCGCTTGGAATGTCCAATAAACACCTATTATTCAAACTAATTCATAAGCCAACACCCCCAAAATGCATAACGTCGAAAATAGTTTTTGAAGAGCGATTAACACGGAAATTAATACGGGTTTTTGAAATTTTAATGATCGCGAGTATGAACTATTCTTTCGCCTCTTTATCACTATTCACGGCTGTGCGTCTACAGATCTTCACTCTCTTACACGTTTGCCTCGGAGTGAAACAAATTCATCAGGTAAATTAGGTATTCCGACCGGGAGAACAGACAAAAATTGTTCGTTGGCGTCCGTTTTACCTGTACATGTAGTACCCAGACTTCCCCCACCTGTGCAGTCGCGCGTGTTTACAATGGCTGATCCTAAATAAGATTACCAGAAATCTTTGCTTTCGCTGAAGTCCGTCGTGCGAATCATAGAGATGAGTGACAAATAAATGATCTTATCGTGCCGCGGAGAACTAGCTCAAGAAGCGTACGACGCGCTAACGTCAGGTGACGGACTTTTCCGTAAAGGAGAGAGAGATCTCAGTCTACTATTAAATATAGGTATCATTTATATGAATTACTCTTTTTTTTGCAGATCAACTGTATCGTATCTGGATCTTTAAGCGTAAAATGGATGATATTTCTTTGGACGAGAGCTAACAAAGGCTTTGAGACCATTCGATGATTTCAGGTCGGAGGGAGAAAAATGCCAAAACATGAGGGTGAGGAAGGCTTCTTGAAATAAATGTAATACGTTTACACAGCAAAGCATACGTGGTCATAGAAGCCGAAGCTATTGTGATTTGCGCTTGTCTTTTTTAATCCTTGAGCTTTTGGATCCGCTGGCCCCGAGAGACTCCACTTTGTGGTGAGTCTGCAATCAAAATTTTACAATGCTGTTATTCCTCGTAATATCTACGTTCCTCGTGTTACCACACGTGCTTGAATTTAATTTGCAACGATTTTTATAAACAGATATGGAAGTGACGAGCAACACCACAACTGCTAGACGAGTGTAATCAACTTTATATTAGAAGCACCTAAGGTTAATTCTGAGATTTTTGTTAAAACTGAGACAAAACAGGACAGGAGTTGTTCATTTAAAAGAAGGGATCCACTAACATTTTCTCGCATCCTAACAGATAGGCTTAGGATTATTTTCCCCAATACATTTGGACAAATAAAAAAACATTAACTGCAAATTTAAAGGTAGATTTTACAGAGACACACTTGGTATTCGTGATTTCGTTCTAAACTTATTATGTTTACACGCTAAAACAAACAGGGTATGTGGGTGGATAGGAAGGGGAGGTAGCAATTATATTAGAGCGTTTTCATTGTTTGGGGCGACTTTTGAGGCCAAGTTTGGTCCCAGTCATTCAAATTGAATCTGCGCCGAATAGTCTTCGTACCCGTGCCACTCGCGTCTTGTATCTAACGTAAGCAGACAAGGATGAAAAACGTCTGCACATGCGTGGCGTGAGCATGTTGGTGTTGTCGGTGGTCGGCGAGTTGTTCGATCGTTTGATCAATGAAATGCCGGCGCAATTTAAACTGTGTATTCGTGGATATATTTTGCCTTTCAGACTGGAATGTAAGGACGCTATTTGAAAATAACTTCTGTAAACTGAACTCTTCGACGTCGACATGTTGAACGTATTATTATTGGGAAATGTTTATTTGCTTGCTCAAGAGCCAACTTTCAGAACTCGGTAAGAAATCACATTGCAAGCTTAATTTCTTTGAGTATGATTTACCTCCATGTAAGGTGGCTCGTACCAGTTTCCTCGCGCGGGGAACAGGTCACTCTTGCGTGACGCGCGCGAGAGAAACGTGCGAAAGAAGCGCGAGATCAAAAGATGAAAATTCAAAACAAAGATGGCGGCGGGTGGAATTTTTTTCTACTTTTGTGAGAAGTTTACCTAAGAGCTTGTATTTGATGTGTTGAGCGGCCACTGTGAATGCAGGAGATAGAAACTAAGATAACGAAGACGATTTTCGGAGAAGTAAAGGTTGCTTCACTTCACATTTAAAAGAAATATTCAACCGATATGAAATCTTGCGACGGCGAAAAAAGAAGAACTCAAGTGAAGGATAATCTACCTGAAGTGGAAGAAGACTTTGAAACTTCAAGGAAAATAATATGATATAGCCAGAAGTCATGTGTAGGATTTTTAAGATGAGCTCGGGAGGCTGTCTTTGACGGCTGTTTAATGATTTTCTTAGCAGTAAACGTCTGTAAACATCAGATCGTAGGTGCTCGCGCGAGCACACGCAATTGTCAGCGGTAGCTAAAACAGATCATGAGCAAATGTCGATCTTATAGAATCCAGATTTTTAAATGCGCGAGAACGCGCGTGGAAATTGCTAAACTCACGAAAGCTATTGCATGAAAACAAGTCCGGTGACCCCTTCTTTTTATTGTTCCAATATGATAATAACGTCGAAAGGAATCATCAGAAAAAAAA